GACCTGAGGGCTATTGACTTCCCATCTGAGGGCTGATGGATGGCCCAGGCTCCCCCTCTGTCTCTATCTCTGACAACCTAAATGCTCAGACTCTAAACCTTTTGCCTGTTAATTTTTAGTTTTAAATAATTCTAAGCTATCAAGGATTTCAGCCAGTTGCTGAGACTGCCAGCATCACAGTTAAAAACACACAACTGGAGAATCAACTCCTCCTTCCTGGAGTAACAGGTGTGTCCCTGAATATATTTTTTTCTATTGACTATTCTTTTCTCTTACAGCCAACGGTGCTTTTTGTGCCTTACCAAGTCATGGGAGGCGGAGAAGTTGCAAGTGAACCAAATCCTCCACCTCCACCAACTTACGATAACGTGATTACCAAATCTCAGTAAAACAAGAACAACAGGAAGGAAATAGGAGAATGGTTGGCAACAGAAGTTTCAGGAGAAGCAATCACATGATCATGAGGAGGTTGCTACGTGTGAGGACTGGTCATGAGTCACTTTTTTTCAAATTTGTTGTAACTGAATGGTTACTAAATAACCAGTTGTAAGTTGAGAGCTACCTGTAATAGTGGTTGCATAATCACTGTGATCCCAAAACAGAAGATGTTTACATATAACCAAAATATTCCATATTATTAGAGTGCTTATGCTGATGAAAAACACAGATTCCAAGCAAATTGCCATTTTTTGTTTTCTATCATCGCATCTCCAACAGGGCAAGCTGGAAACACATTCATTAGCTGTATCCTTGAAGGGTTTACAGTTGTGTAAACATACAATTTCAAAATAAAAGCCATTCATACTTTTATGGAGGGTATATTTGGGGGGTGGGCAACTATGATCCCTTTGCAACCTGTGGACCTCAACTCCTGAGCCTGCAGAGCTGATTCAGATATTCTTGGATTTGAAGTCTACAGTTCTTAAAAGTTCCATAGTTGCCCATTTTTGGTAAATGCCTCAAGAGACTCGATTGAAATGTAGAGATTTGTTGCTTCTTTGTCCATAATTACATTGTAAAAAGTTTGACTCCTGCAATGATTTTACAGATGTACAAAATGTACATTTGCAGAGTTGTTTGAGGTTTAATTTGATAGGAAGTATCCTGAACATAATCTAGCTCAGTTGAAATGATGACACTCTTTGCTTCCTTTCTTTGATGAATCTGCATACAGATGGGAAGTTGAACAACTAGCCTTGTGATGCAGCCGGAACAATCTTAAACCAAATGCATTCAAAATTGTAAAAATGGTAGATTTTAGAAGAAGCCCACCTATTCTACCACCATTTGGTCTGGGAAACTACCTGTAGATTGGCTGAAAAATGTTTATTTCTCAAGTATCCTTCCTTCCCTAGAAGCTGAATTTGGAGGACAGGTTATAGGGAAGGAGGATTAGAAACCATAAGGAAACTTTGATTATCTTCCTGATGCTTCCATGCCACACAAATTCATGATTTTTAAATACTTGAGGTACAATTAAAACCGGAGGCTTTTCTTCAGGATGGGTGACAGACAGTGAGAAAGAAGTCATGGAACTTTGTTTTTATATATGATATATGCAGGAAGATTATAATATGCTCAAAAGTGGGAAGGTTTAAAATAACCAACAATTGAATGGCTGGTGAAAATGATGGAACTTGCTGACAAGGCTAAATTGACTTCCTTGATTAGAGAAAAGACTGGAAAACGTTTCTTAAAAACTTTGCATGAAAAAAAAAATAGCATTAGCAACAACATTTAGGCTTATATACGGACCCTTTAGTGCTTTACAGTATTCGTTGGGTGGTTTACAACATTGAAGCATTTTTTTGCATATTCCCCCCAACAATCTGGGTCCTCATTCTACTGACCCCTGGAAGGCTAAATCAACTTTGAGCCCCACCAAGATCAAACTCTAGACTGGAAAATAGATAGTGGAAAAAAGTGACCTTTTTTGTAATCATAAAGTAAGAGATAATTTTGTAATTATGTTTACATTTGCTGCACAGAAAACACTAAGCTTTTGTATTCATTTTTATCTTTTTGTTCTACACTTTTGCCTTTATCTTTCTCTTTGTTTTCTTTACTCTGTATTTCTGGTACTCAGTTGTTTTTTCCAATGGAATAACATATCCTTTACATAAATTAAAAATTGATAATTTTTATTTAGCCACATTATCCATCAATATTATCTCTCACTTGTATTTTTATTTTTTTCCTTTCTCTTTGCAGCTTATAAGATAATCGTTTCCTTGGTTTATTCACAAATTGAAAATGTCTATGTTTTGTATAACTCAATTTAAATTCCAGTTCTCTTATGGTTAACATGGATAACATACTGTAAAATCTTAATTTCTTGACAGATTAATGTTCCCTGGTGAATTATTTAACTCATATTTTTATTTCATCCAAAACATTTTGGGCTTCCTCTTGCCTTTTGTTAAATTCAGATTACTGGACCTGCCACACTCACAGCTGGTTATCATCCCATTGATTGAAACACCTGTCTAATTTCCCCTTGAAATGAATTGCTAAGAATTGAACTAAGAACATGAAAAGCCAATATCATAATATAGGGAAATTATCTTGGCATCTAGAAGAGATCTAGAAGAGATAACAGAAGCTGCTTTCTAAAAATATGAAATCTGGGACTAGCTTAGCTCATCTGGAGGGGGAGGGGGGTAGAAGCCGTCTCCGTTTCTAAAACATTATTATTACAGCATCGAAACTACCACAGCCCCATAGACGTTCGTAGAACAGCCCAATACAAAATAGCAATAGGAGGATCAGGACTCCAGAGGGCGCACTCGCGTAACATACATAATGAAAGAAGCCCCCCCCCCCCCCCGCCCTTCCAATAGAGCAGAATTTATGGTAGAGAACAGTCAACCAAAAAGCAAATGTTCAGTTTAAATAAGTACGAAAGGAAACGAGGTTTTCCCATCCTAACTGCCAATACACGGAGAGGATTTGCCTTTGGCATGTATTTATTGGCTAAGGGATGCGGCCCAGATGTTTCAGCGCCCTCTGAGGTTTCCAAGGGAGAGTTTCGCAAGGAGCGCAATCGGAGCTGAGATCGAGTCCCTCCAGCTTCCCCTTCACGCCGCTGCCGATTTCCCTGTTCAAGCGCTAAAAAGAGAAACCCGAAAGCTACAGAGAGGGCCGGTGGAGGGAAGCGGGGGGGATCCTTCGCTGGACGAAGGCTACTTAAAGAGCGGGGGGGGGGGGCTGTGATCGCAATGCGTGTCCTATTCTTTTTATTTCTTGCGATTCCTGCAAAGATCGTAGAAGTCTCCGAGGGGTTGAAAACGGGTCCCTCCAAGGCGGGACATGCGCATTTGGAGAGAGAAGCAAAAGATGTCGAGGGATGAGTTTGATTTCAGGGATTCGTTTTAGTCTGGGAATAACAGGACTTTATAAAGTTGGAGAGTTTTCCTGTCATCTCTGAACAAGCAGAAAGTTCACCGCCCCAAACTGTTATCTGTTGCAACAGTTAAAGGGGCAAGAAAGAAGTTCTTTTCTGGAATCCTTTATTAAGGGATGAGCACATTCCTCCTTCTAGTAGACGGCGGAACCGCACCCTCCGCTTGTTCCTGTTTTGTTATTTTCTTTTCCTGGGGCTTCCGTGTACTTCGTCTTGAGAGGTTGTCGTGAGTAATTTTTTTAAAAAAATAGTATGGAATTATTATGTGGACCCTCCCGTGCCTGCCGCTTCTCCTCCGCAGCCATCCAGCTGAGTCTTCTCAGCCACGCAGCCCCCGCAGGTCTTGTAGACGGGAGGATTTCAGGGCAGAATTAGCGGACAGAGAAGAGTTTGCAATCAATCTTGCCCTGATGGAAGTGCCCAATACGCGCAAAGGAGCCACGTAAACTTACAAAAGTTAAATATTTGAAGTTCGCCATTCAAAGGAGGGTGGATGGGTCGATTTTCCCTTAACTTTGACTTCTAATTAATGCAGCTCAATACAGCTTTCTCTAAAGGTCTGTACAAATAGTAACCATGGGATTAATTCGGGCCGTTTTGTAGGAGTTTTCAAAATCCGGAGCGTTATTGGAGGTCCATGGCAGTTAGGACTTTACTGAATCTCTTCAGAGCCGAGATGGCGCAGTGGTTAGGGTGCAGTACTGCAGGCCACTTCAGCTGACTGTTATCTGCAGTTCAGCGGTTCTAAT